TTCGTTTTTCATTTTAGTATTCGTCACACGTGAATGCATCTTTACGACATCGTCATCTGCATTTCAAATATTCTATCGGAGCCTTACTCGTTAGCTAACATTCCAAACAACTCCTTGTCTCCCAGCGTCAAATTCAAGTTTTAAAATTCATCCAGGAAACACTCGAATCCGACTGATATTTAAAAGAATGTTATATCTCGTTGAAAAAATTAAAAATTGAATCTCACGAGAAAATTAAACATTTTTTTATAATTATTATAAAGTTTTAATGAGTTCGTACTAGCTATGCAGGTATCGAGTTGATGATTCGTGAGGTACTGGGTTTGGTCGTTTCTTAGCAAGTTCTTTTCATATCCACAAATCCATTTTTTATTGCCACTTGCCTGGTTGCTGGTCTGCATAGCTTTATGCTGGTCCCCGTTCGTTTTTTTTAACGACAACCTTTTATGCTGCTTTCATGCTGGCTGGCCGTCAGAAGACGTGGCTGTGTTTGTGAGAGAGGGTCGGAAAAAAAGAGAGATGAACAATTTGAGAATGTCACACACGGATGAGTGAATGAATGAATAAATGAATGAATGAAAGAATGAATGAATGAACGAACGAACGAACGCATGAATGAATTAATGGATGAATGGATGGATGAATGAATGAATGAATAGATGAATGGATGGATGAATAAATGAATGAATAAATGAATGAAATAACAAACAAATGATCAAACGAACAAACAAACGGACGGACGAATGGAGGGAGGAAGGAACGAAAGAATGAATGAAGTAATGAAGGAATAGAATAGAATCGTTGGCATGATTAGTATTCGCCTCACGCGTTTTAATCTTGAATCACTCTCAATCCTTTCTTAAAGGCAGAAGTGTTGATGGGGCGTTGAAAGGTGACGACGACGATGACGACGATGATGATGATGATGATGAAGTGGTGGTTTGGATGATGATGATGATAACAATGATGATGGTGATGGTGATGATGGTGGTGGTAGTATAATTGTCATGTCGTGGTGATGATGACGTTACCGAGCGTGGTGATGATAGGATAATACAATGAATATGATGTAAGATGATGTAATAAGACGTAATGACGGTAAGATGATAATCTGCCCATTTGAAATGGGATGACGTCGAAGTTGCTCTAGCGTCATTTGTGAAGCTATCTTGATGTCATGGAACTGTTTGTGATGCCACCTTGATGTCATGGAGCTGTTTGTGATGCCACCTTGATGTCATGGAGCTGTTTGTGATGCCACCTTGATGTCATGGAGCTGTTTGTGATGCCACCTTGATGTCATGGAGCTGTTTGTGATGCCACCTTGATGTCATGGAGCTGTTTGTGATGCCACCTTGATGTCATGGAGCTGTTTGTGATGCCACCTTGATGTCATGGAGCTGTTTGTGATGCCACCTTGATGTCATCAAATGTTTTCACAACTTGGATGTCGCCCCCAACGAGTTTCGTTGTTGTCTCATATCTTCGCGTGGTTTTCAATACTCTCAGTTTGTTTGTTATTTTGTCGTTTTTATTATTGATCGTTTAAATATTTTTTAAACATTTGAGAGGGAACTACAACCATTGGATGAATGATTTATACAAATTCTTTAAGATGAAAATGAAAAATTTTCTCAAAAAGTTAGGCCACAAAAACTAACAAACATTATGCAACAGTAACCTTCATAAAAAAAATTGACAAGAGACTAAAGTAAACAAACGAAAAACAGAACAATGAACAATAAACAAATAACAAACAGAAACAAAAAATAATAAACAAATGATGTAGCGCTTTTAAATTCAGAGAGAGATCATTCAAATAAATGGCTGGAATAAAATTTGAGAGATTGGGCGGGATTGATTGATGGCTGGATGAGTGGAGGAATAAATAAAATATGGTGTCTGTGGGTTGGGGTGGATGGATGGGTGGATAAATGAATGGAGAGATGGATGGATGGATGAATAAAGGAATGGATGGATGGATGGAAGGAAAGAGGGATAGATGGATAGATGGATGCATGCATGAATACTTAGATAAATGCATAGATGCATGGATGCACAAATGGATTGATGCATGGAAGGATGAATTGATGAATGGATCTATAGACGGATTAATGGACAGATGAATGGATGGATAGATAGACACATGAGCAAATGAACCGACGAATGTAAGGCTAGCTTGACATGGACACGCGCATGCAAACATGTACCGTCTGATGGATCGACCTATGTTCTGATAAATGGTTTTCACGTATTCAACAAATTAATAACAAAAAACTCTCTATCTGTTCTAGTTCATAATGTTGTGCTTGTGTATGATTGAATGAATGAATGAACGAACGAACGAACGAAAGAACGAACGAAAGAACGAAAGAACGAATGAACAAAAGAACGATAGAACGAACGAACAAAAGAACGATAGAACGAATGAAAGAATGAACAAATGAACGAATGAATAAATGGATGAATAGATGAATGAAGGAATGAGCGAGCAAATAAATGAATGAACGACGTGAAAAAATATTTTTCTTATGGGAAGTTTGATTGACGGATTGCGTATGGATCTGAACGATGGAC